ACCATGTCTAGTAGTAGGTAAACAGATTCTCTGTTCCTCGTAGTAGTTTTGTCCGTCTCCTGGCCAATCTTCAGTAGACTAGAGGATGCAAGCTACATGAAATGCATATTTTAAAGGAATAAAACAATGTGTTGATCAGTTTCTGTTGTTTTGTTACACACACACACACACACACACACACACACACACTACCTTTCTAAAGAAACCAATACCCCAGCCAGTGGATGCCAAGTTGTACTAGCAACAACCAAGGACAGTAAGCCTGAGCACATGAACAATCACCAAGCTTTAGTCTCAGTGAGCCATTTTTGTTTATTTCTAGTAGTGCTATCATTACAAGTATATGCTATTCTAATAGAAAAAGTGTCAGAATTAATTGTGAAGAACTGTTCACTGTAATCACTGGTTGACCATTACAAAGTCTACTGAAATCAATGACAGAACTCCCACAGGACCAGGATCTTGCTTCTTCTGTCATTCCCAATATGCAGGTAAACTTACTGCATTTTCATAAGTTTTGAAGAGACTCAAGTTTCTAACTGTTTGAAGTTAAACTCATTTTGCAATAGAAGATTGAGTTCTACTTCCTAAGCTCTATTTTCAACTGAGGAAATGTCATCCTAAATGTAAATGGATAGTATTTTATCAGACCATGAGCAACCCCACAGATACTAGTTTTAGGAGATATCCTAGAAACTTCTAACATGTACTTAGGTATTTACAAGTTCAGGGTGACAGAATATAGTAAACTAGGTAATTTGCAGATGTAAGTTTTTTTTCTATATTTAATTAACTTTGATAGGAAGGTGGATCATTTCCTGCTGTACATTTTCCTCCTGAGACATGTTTTATTTCAGACTAACAGTAACTGATACATAAAAGGTGCTAGAAAAGAAAGATTAACAAAATATCCGAAGGAGCAAGTCATGGTCTGTGCAGTAAAAGCAGTGGTCTGAAACCAGTTCGTAAACACTGAAAAAATGCAAACCTTATACCAAAAGTGTTTAAATCACATGGAACTATACTGGTTTTCTTCACTTGTCAAATGCATGCAACTTGACACAACCATTTGTCCTTCATCCTTTACAGCCAGCAGTTGTATTAGACAAGGTGAACAGCAAAAGGTTTTTTCTTTTTTACAAAATGCAATGAGTGAAAGAACCTTTTAAGTAGAATTAAAAAAAAGGAAAAAAATGTCTTTCTGTGGACTTCTAGGGACAGACAGTTGCCATTATCCCACCCTCTTAAGTGTGTAAGGCATCTAAAATGAAGAGGTAATATTTTTTCACATTTCAAGGCCAAACAGCAAAAATCAAGAATCACTCAAGATCAGTAGTAATTTTTAGAAATTCAAGTGAAGCTGCTGTTTTAGCCTTTAGTGTCCCTTTGAGTACTGACTAATTAAGAGCCACTTGAAAAATTCTGTTTCTGCCAGCACACAAAAAAATATTGCAAATGCATCACCACCACCTAAAGGGTTTTGATTTTTTTTTTTCTAAGTATCACTAAGGATTTCAGCAGCTTTCATTTTTAACCTTCTCTGAAGCATACAAATTCCTCTTCCCAAGTATCCCCATAACATCCTGCTATCAGAGAGTTACTGTTTCAGAAGGGCAGACATGTCAAAAGGTACAAACTCAAGAGCCACTCTGGAGTTACCTTCCTTGAAAAAGTGAGCTAAAGAGTCCAACCCATCATGCAAAAAAGTCTGCTAGACAGAATCTTGATTTTATATGCACTGTACATTTCTTTTTCCAATCAAGGACCACATAATGTAAGAGCCAGTATATGCTAAAATACTAAAGATTATATTAAAATAAAAATTGTGACACTTGTACTGATTTGCTGCTGTTACCTTCCAATACCCCACAGAGCTGACTATTGCTAAAGGACTGCTACTCAATTTAATCTACATATTGACCTGCATTAATAATAATTATGTTGTTTTGTTACACACACACACAATATTATTAATAATAATTAATAATGATTCTCTCTTGTGCACCAAACCCAGATTTATATGAAATCACCTACACTATGTCCTAAATTAGCATTACATTTTCTACTTGAATTTCAAATACTTCCTGAAGTCAACAGATATTTTTCTTGTTAAGATATGAATTTTACCCTATTGTCAGACCAAAATCTTACCCACACCTGATTTTCTCCTAGTCAAAAAATCAACACTTTATTATACAATAACTTTAGTTTCTCTGCCATCTATAACAACAGGAAACTAAGTAACATGACAGACATTATGAAGCAGTACTGTTATTGGAGCAAATGCTGGTAAATTAATAATCATTCATGCTAATCTAAACCTTTATAGTATGCCTCTGTGATTAAGATTACTCATGGCTGATTGCCACTGTAAAGCTAACATTTGCCATGACAAACGCATGGAAAATTTCATGACAGATTACGTATGGATTGAGGGGCATTAGGGGGCGAGAGTTTGTTCCCCTCTTTTTGGACAGGGTAGCTCTAGAAATGAAATTATACATACGGCCAAAAATTCTTTCAGACGGTCTTCAATGCTTCCCTTGTGGATGGTAAATAATGCTGCAGCAATCTGGTTGATAGCTTTTGCCAAGCAATGAATGTTGTTGCAATGCCCTGAACAAAAACATATACAAATCACCTCAGCATTATGCTTGAAAGTAACAGTATGCTTTGGAAAACATCATGGAAAAGTAAATGAACTTGTCACAACGAAAAATAAATGTTTAGCATCTTACACAACGGGACCGAAGCACTCTTTCACACTGAACTTGGCAACAGTTAAGCTACTAGAAGTACAGATCTCCCTTCTGAATGCTGTAATGGTCACAACAACCTGACAAAGATCTCTGTGGTTTTTAGAAATTAGGAAACATAGTATCTAGGAGGTTTATTTGTTTTCTACAAAACTTGAGAGTATTACCGCTTGACTAGGCTAAAACGCCAAGTGGCAAGCAGGACTTTTTCAAGCTAAATTGGCTATTTTTCTTTCCTCTGTGTAGATGAACATGGCATGATGCCCAGACAGCATTCACCCAAGACATCTACAAGAACTGGAGAACAAAATTGTTGAATTGCTCATTGCCATGCATAACATCTTGCCTAAAATTCACCCAGGCTTCAGACGCCTGGGGTATGATTAGATTATACCAGTTTTCAAAGACAGCAGAACAACTGCTCCTCAGTAAGTATCTCTTCCAGGCAAAGCTAAGTCAAATCTACCACTTTAAAACAAAACTAATAAACACCTGGGCAAGTACCTTGTGATAGTGCTAGCATATGAAAAAAAGGTGGTCTCTGAAGGAGCTAACAAGTATTCATGCGCTCAAGCATTGCTGGTTTTTACCATTTTTTTCTGACCACTGCTGAGCACTGAACTCTTTTTCATTCAGTCATTTATCTTAACTCCAAAATCCCACTTAAACAACAAGGTCAGTAGACCCCATCACTCTGACACCCATGAAAAATGATCACTATTGTTACTGAAAATGAATTTTTTCTGTCATTTTATTGCCCAGTTTACTCAGCATCATAATAATATCTACCTGCAGCTCTTCACTCCTCTAACACTCTCAATAACTTTATATGACACCAACATTTTCTCACCTCACTGTTCAGCCCCTGTTCCGGCTGCCTATGAATATGCTGATTAGTAGGTCCCAATGAGCATCTCTCTGGATCTCCACCAGCAGTCCCCCTTGTTCCCCCCTCCCTCCCAGTTGATACTCCTATTCCATCTCCTATTTTTAATTAAATATTGCTGCATGAATATACTAGTCCAAAAAAGAATCACAGAATCCCTTTCCTTCTACATCAGTCAAGAACACCTGTAGTGCTTGATTCTGCTGATACAAATTTGAATTTGTTTTTGAGTGGCTGGCTTTTTTTAAGTGACTTCATTTTTTGTCGCAGACTGTTGTCTGCAAGGGAATTCAGCTGAGGAACTGTTGTCTTCCAACAGCTTTCAAGTATTTAGAAACAACTATGTCTCTTGCAGACCAAGGTCATATTCTAGCCTCTAGACAACAAATTAGTTCTCTAGCCTGACATTTGACTAGCAGTTCAGACTTCTTACAGGGAACAAGAGAGTCTGAGCCTTTATCTGGAGTTAGTAGAAGAAGCAGGCTTAATCTTGAAGTAGGCAGAGAGAACACAGACATTGCTGAAACTGTCTAAGAACTGTTTGTATTCGGGAGGTATGCTTGCCAGATTAGAAGGCTGAAACTCCTTCAAATCCGTGACTTGTTCATGGATAAATTCAGGATTTCTCCAGGGAATTTTACTTCATAAAAAGCAGCATTTATGAAGTTCTCATTCTGGAAACAGCATCTATATTAAGTATCTAAAGCCAAGTGTTCTACAATAACAGCAAAACACAAGAAAAAGTAGCCTCATGCAAGGCAGCCAGGACTGACAAGGTCTATCCCACTGGTTCAGTTAGTTTTGTAGAGTGAACAGATTTTATGCATTCCTTTTGCCAGACTCTTTCCTCTCAATAGAAAAGAGCCCACTCAGGAAAGAATTCCATAGTACAGAGGCCACATGTCATAAAACCAGTAGCAACTCCTAACAGGCTTATTTGAGTTCTAGATGTTACTTCTCTCCAGTCACAGTTTTGAGATCTTAACAACTGTACTTTAAGAACCCACTTGAAAACAAGGCTTTACCTGACTTCATGTTAAGTTACTGCATGTAAATAAAATCACAGAAACTGGAATATTTAAGCTACATGAAACAAAACAGACAGAAGATAAGAATTATATGTTGTTTCAGCCTGCTAAGAACCTGAGGGCTAAGATGGTCTTTGGAAGAGAGGAAGCCTGAGGAAGATGAGCCTGCATGAGTTCTTACCTGCTGGAGAACCTTACTCATGTGAGGTGCTGAGGGCTGAATGTGAAAATGTAATCACTGTTAAAAACCTTTAGTACTGTCCCCCTGGGCCAGTTTTGAGACTCTGCAGTAGGTAAGATGCTTTTGAAGGAGAAACTGGTGCCACAAAGTGCTTCCAGGGGATTTATTTTACAAAACTATGAAGCAGTAGCATTTAAGAGATGCGCTCTTGAATCAAGTTCATTTGGAGTTAACAGATTCCTAATCTCTCAAAGTGAAGAATACAATTAACCCCCATTTAAGAAAACAATCTTGGGTCTCTCAAAAAAAGTGTTTTTCATATTACACTAAGTGACATAGAAGGCTTTCGGAAGTTCTGGTACTTTAAATTTTCAGAAGTTCAGACATTCTTTGAGAGCTAAATTTTGACTGGATTAAAAATAATACAACCTGAAAGAAAAAAAAAAAAGTAGTAGAAAAAAACATGCTGTACCCAGTAAATGGCTGCAGAATAAACATGGTCTTTTATGCAAGCCGTGATACACATCACAAAGAAAATAGCTTGGACATCTCAAAGGTGACTTTTGTATGTGTTGGAACAGCTTTGTCAGTCCTTTTTTTCAACTTAGTCTGTGGATTACATGCAAAGAATTTCCTTGAGGCAAAGATTTTATTTTTAATAAGGAAGTTGACCTACTCTTAGGATATAATCCTGTTATATACAGCTTTCACCTTCCAGATTCTGTTTTAAAAAAATTATGCTTACTAATATGAACAGTTTTAAATATAGGAAAGATTCCTTGTATGACTGGCCCAAAGCCAATGTAAAGATTACTCAAACATCTACACTAACTAGTCTCACACTAACTAGTGTGGAATGTATACTCTAGCAATTCCACACACTAGGATGAGACTGCCCCCTACAGTTTTTTGACTGTTCTTATAATTTCAAGTGGAAGACTTGTTTTTCATATAAAGTTACCTTAAATAAGAGTTGAGTAAATGCTTTTTAAAGTAACTTTCAGACAAACTTTCCTGGATAAGGGCTAATTTAACTGGGTGTTGCATTTTATTCACTACAAAACATAATATTTAAAGCAAACGTATTCCAGAAACTACCAGGACTATTATGAAGGAACCATCACAGCAAATACGTAGCTGAATCCACATTACCTTCAATGGCGGGGCTATACTGAGACATCACATTACTAGCCAAAGTCGGCAAGGAGACTGCCACAAAGACCATGAGAAGGCAAGCAATCTTATATTCTTCTTCTGGACTAATGTTTTCTAAAAACACAAAAACAATAAAGCTCTTTTAATTAAAAAAGTAACTTGCAGTATTTCCTTTCAACTGCAGGAAGTTCAGAATGTAAAATTTTGACAAAACTGAAATGTAAACCCAAGAACAAACTCAGTGTTTGTATTGTGAAAGGAGGAATATTATGTCAGTCTTGCCAAAAGACACAGGGTAGACACCTTTAAAAATTTTCCAGTTTGTTATCTATAAGAATGAGGGCAAGCTGCTAACACACTAGCACTTCTAACAATTTAGTTACGAAGATTTTAATAGGCTGAGCAGAATGGTATTTTTTCATGTGCTTTGAGGTGAGCATTACTCTAGCAGTCTCTCTTTGGTGAATAAGCAGGTGATATGCACTCACCTCAATTCACACTAAAACCTTGTTTTCAAGAACAGCAGCATCACCATGCACAAGCATGAGATTACTTTCAGAAAAAGTAAACAGTTGGTGAAATACAGTACTCTTATCTGTGTAAACTGAATTACTAAAAACCAAGTATCTCAAACTGCAAAGGTAAGAATCAAAATATGAACTCATAACCCATCATGAAAATACACAGAAATTCCCCTTTTCACCCAGCTTAAACATTTCACAGCTAAACCACAGTGAAAATAATCTATTTTAAATGGTATTTCAGATTCTACTTATCTTACAAAGAGACACCTACTTATATTATGCACATAATCAATATAAAATACACTTTTTTTTGAGGTACACAAAGAAATTGTGCTTGACATTCAAGTTTGAATATTAAAATGCTGCTTGAAATTAGCAGTGTTTCCTGCTCCCAAAAGATCTACTACTAAAGCAAGAAAAAACAACATTCATGATCTGATAATAACATTAACTTTCCATTACACACAGTGGGAAAAACAATAAAGTAAAAAAAGCTGAAGACTGTCAGAGAGCACTTAAGAGTCTTAATTCATGCCTTCAAATCTGCCAGAGTAAACAAAACTGAAAAATTTAGACAGTGGTGCTTTAAAGTGAGTGAGAGGAAGCACTATACATGTTAGAACATTAATATGTTTATTTTAACATGTTTCCCCTTGTCAGCTCCATGTTAACACTTGCATAACACAGTGTTGCGAAGTTCACGAAGAGCAGCACTCTGGCATTTCAGATCCCAATATCTACTTACCTGACACAGACCTATTACACATCTGTAACAAAACTAATCATATCCATAACTATTCACAATAGCGTCCTATTTTCATTGTCCTTAGATTACAGCAGTTTCCACCATTAGCTATCGAACAACTTCAACATGTACCCATTATGTATTTCTGGGTCAACAAGTTAATTTGGATGTGGTTGAGAAGATCCTCAAGCTAACACATCAGTAAGCAGCAGGCTTACATGTTCTTCTGCCATTTATAAAGTCTAAAGGAATATAAAGGACTCAAGATACAGATGTCTCCTCCCAGCATCTGAAACTTCTATGCCTTAGTGCATTTTTTTTTCCTCCCTCTATTCTAACACGTTTTTTAATTTGGAACTTCCTACCTGATTTTTGGGAAGACAGTGCTACGACCAAGGCAGGATCAATCTCACAAGGCAATCCAGCAGCTGATGACAGTTCATATACATTCATTGCCACCTGAGGACCAGAAGAAAGATAAGTACAACACTGAATGCTTCTGTGTAAACGTGATCAATCCGTCATGTTTAAAACGTTCATGTTAGTGTCTGAGGCACGGAGGAATTGCAGAGACTTGGCTATATAAAGAGACTCTAGATTTTGGTTGTTTCTAACCTACACTGAACAGCTGGGTCAGTACTTTGAGTATTTTGTACTTTGAGTAGTTTTTACTTTTGAGTATTTTTTAGTACTTTGAGTATTAGATTTTCTTTTTGTCAAGCCAAACAAAGCTTGTATAATTTTCAACACTACCTCTAAAGCAAACATCCTGACTTTGAATCAGCTATTTCTACATATTTCTTTACTGTTCAAAAGAAACTAACATTTTCTTTACTAGATCTAAAGTATCAGCTAACCTCTGCAAATACAGCATTTTTAGACAAAAACTGAAAGTCAATCTAGTGAAAAAGTGAGGCAGAAATCTTACAACAGTCAAATTTCATATACATTCAGTGTCCAGGAATTCCAAGTGCCAAGAATTAGACTCTATGTGGCCCCAACAATAACATCTTGAAATGTATTCCATTTTCCACAGCGCATCCCAGGCTGTATCTTTCACTGCTATTAACAAATGTTCCACAGTTCTCTTTTCCCAATTTACATCTTGGACAATATATCTGAAGCTGTAGCTCAGCAGAATCTCTGAAAAAGCAACTTTACACCAATTACAAAAGACTACAGGGAATGTAAGCAATGTGTCTTATATGTGAGACGCGTTACACTTTGCCCATAAATCCTCACATATAACTCTATCAGTTGCACATAGGAGATACTGTGCAGACTAACCTTATCCGTGTGCTTTAGCCTGGCTACTCAAGGACAAGTTCTGATATGAAAAGCACACAATATGAAAAGTATTGTTTAGTAAATGCTATGCCACCAGCAGGGCTTATCATATTAGCCTGGGTACAGTCCTGCATTAAAAGAATTACAGAGCATCCGGACAGGAGCTAATTCACAATTAAGTGGTTAATGAGCAAGAGTGGAACAAATGCAAGCCTGCTTCTAAAAGCCTGTGTAGACATCCCAATAATTTAATATTAAAAACCCCAAGTAAACAAAAGGAGAAGAAACCCCCATTTCACCAGTTACCCCAAATCGTAAGTTTCAGGGACACCAAAACAGGAATAAGACTTCATAAGATACATTCATTGGATATGAAAATAAAAATAACATTTCATAACAAGTATTTATTCCATCAACAGCTTTAAAGCTATTTACGCTCTGCTTGGTAAATTCAGTACATAGGAAATTACTAAGTCCTAAAATATGCCCAATTACAACTTATTGGGCAATTATCCCAGTAAGTTGTATATTGTACAAAGCCTTAGAAAGATCTGTCTGTTGACATGCTTTCATTTAAGTGAAAAAACCCAACCCTGACTTATTGTCCTAAAAGAAGTCTTTGTTGCCTGCAATTGTACTGCTGTATGAGAAAAGGCCAGGAGAAAGCTCAATGAGCTGCCGATTGTCCATAGGGCTTAATTGTTAGCAGGCTCATAGCACAGCTCTGGCCCTTCCAACAGGATGTTTTCAAGACAAAGCTTGGGCAGAGTGGCTGGGTAGCACATGTCAGAGTTCCCAGTATTCCCAGCAGGCACTACGGACAAGATTACATAGGTTTGGCTCCTTCTCCATGCACAGTCCTCCAATGTTATCCAGCAAGCTATGTACTCTCAAACAAGCTTACATGGCATCATGCCACACCACAAGACATGACATCTGTGTTGGTATCATGCAACCAGCCTGGTGGACTCCACCACAGCACTCATTTGTTTGAGACACTTGGAGCTAGGAAACATACACACACAAAGTATATTCAGAAATCACAGCAGAACTACAGCAGACTCGGAGAGGGCCAACAGCCAGATACTACATGAAGCAGACAACTAGGTGGTGCTACGAAGCAGAGAACAGTCCTCAGCATGGTTTCATTTACAATTAGATAGCTTTTTTTCCCATCCAATTGTTTCAGTGACTTCCCCAAAGAGAAGCAGCAAGTACTATACTTTTTCATACCTGCTGACACAAATGAGTTCAGTGGTATCTTTAGAGATCCACTGAGATGTTTCAAGTTATCTGTTAGCATCAGCTTAAAAATATTAATGGTAAAATACTGCCTTCAATGATTAGTATTGCAGCCTTTACCCCACTGTATCTTTCAGCACCCCTTTGATACCACAGGGTGTCTAGTAGGAGGTATGGAGGTCTTTCTAAAAATATCAAGCAAAGCAAGCAGTGAATTTCCCTTCTCATTTCTTTTGCATACTGATTCCTCAAGTTCAATAATGGAACAGGATGTTTTGGTGATCAGTGATTTTCCCTGTAACTAAAGGCGAGAATTACAAAAAGGCTGAGAAGTGGAAAGGAACTTACATAATTTAGATACAATTTTTATCATGAGCCAGTATCCTCTAAGTTTAATTTTCCACTGCATTTCCACAGAATTCCTCTACTATTATATGAAATCCAGGCTTTTCTGGGACATCAAACATTTATGGCCGATTTATCAGCATTGTGAGTTTCAAAGAGCACACGATAATATTTGGGAATGAAACAGCACACATGAAGTTTCAGTAACTTATATTTTTCATGCAATCTCTGACTCATTTTCAAGACAGACTGCCAAACCCTCTTCTGAAATCATGAGGCCTACAATAATGAACTTGAACTTTT